AAAAAAAAAAAAAAAAAAAAAAAAAACTTTTGTTTTTGTAACTGTAAGCATTATAACATCATATGCAGTTTATAAAAAATACTGTTAAACAGAGAAAAAAGTCTATAAATCAAACTTTTATTTGACGTATTTGCGAGCAATTTATAACTTTAAAAATTGCAATGTGATTTAGAACTGTTATGGCTATCAAAAGAACAGCAATGTATCTTGAAAATCAACTAAGCGTAAACCAGTTGCTTGTACTGGCTAACATAAGTAAGAAAGCAAGTAGATATTGTAGATGAAAAAGAGTACCAAAAAACTGTGATTAAAGTTTTCTGTTTATACTCAGACTGCTACAATTGTTTTGATAAGAAAAAATCCAAAAAAGTTGCAATTATTGTGTGACAAAAGCGGCTGACGTCTGTTTGTTGCAAAAAGCTTAGTCAAGTGAATAGAAGTTGCAGTTTTTAGCAAAAAGACATTACTTTGACGTACTCTGCTGTTCCCAACTAGGCAAGCTGTCATTCTTCTAGAGCAAAAAGTTAGGCCAAATTTTTGAAATAAAAGTCAGAAAAGGATGTGTTTAAACACTGTCATTGAGATGACAATTGAGTCGAGTGTCAGAAAAAGTCAGAATGCAATAAGGTTGTGACTTCTTAGTACATAAATTTTTATACTGAATATCAGACAGCGTAAATAGTTATCAAAATTTTGAAGCATTCAGAGTATAATGGAACTGTTCACAGCTTTTACTTTCTTCTGACTAATTCTGTCAAGGTAGTAGTAAAAGAGAAGATTAGGATCAGCAGCAGTATTATGATACGACTAACAATGTAGCTGCCAACTATACGTTTAATGATCTGATTAAAATGTTTTAGAATTCAAAAAGATCAGTGAGTTCACTATATGCGAATGTTGGTGAAAAAGCCGTAAAGCAGTTTCGTAAGGAGCTTGTTTTCAAAGCTACTTAGTCTACGTTGAGCTGGCAGTGTAAAAGACCATTTAGACCTGTGGTCCAGTAATTAACATCTTTGTTGTTTAAGGTCGAAAAGTGTAAACACATGTTTGAATAATAAAAAGTTGTTGTATAAATATGACAACATTATTGAAACCACCTGCTAAAAATTATTATTAAAAAATAAGAATATATTAAAGCTGCAATATCTTACACCTATTTAATTATCTAATAATAATGTTTAATAAGCAAAAATTTAAGGTAAAAATAGTGCCTGAGCAGTTGTCAATAAA